TTGACAAGTAGGAAAAAGCTCGTTTTTACCTGATATCTGAAAAAAAAGAAAAAAAAACCATTTAAAATCTGATTAATTATTACACTTGAACAGATGTTTGGAGAAAACTGTAAATTAGAAAGAGTTATAGTGTTTGTTTGCTGTAAAGTATTCTTAAAAAATAAACATATGTTTTACTGAAGTAAAAAACAGGGACGTTCGATATTATCGCTCTAACATTAACATCGGCTGATGTTGGCATTAAAATGTAATATCGGATAGTCGATCTTGGTTTTTGCTCCTTTGTGATGAAAAATGACCCGCACTTTTCAGAGTAGGAGGACTCCAAAGTGCTTTACACTACAGTGCAATGGCCCAGTTTTACACTCCATACACACATTATACATCAAACTCTTCCGTTTCATCTCTTCGCTCTCAAAATACCACACTATGACACATCTGAGGTTTAGTTTTTTGAGATATTTTAGTTTCATTTGGCACAACTTGTGAATAAGTAATTGAGTAGTGTGTGTGTGTGTGTGTGTGTGTGTGTGTGTGTGTGTGTGTGTGTGTGTGTGTGTGTGTGTGTGTGTGTGTGTGTGTGTGTAATGAGGATCTGCTGTTCTATGTCGCTAGCCAGCTAGCACAAAGCTAAAACAAAGCAGGAACCAGTGACACTATACAATTACGGTCATTTTATTAATAATAATGGATTGGGTTTATATGACAGTTTTCAAGGCACCCAAAGCGCTTTCCATTAGTCATGCACTCACACATTCACACACTGCCAGTGATGGTAAGCTATGTGGCCACAGCCGCCCGGTTGTTAATATTTATTTATTCTTTATTTAACCAGGAAGGTCCCATTGAGGTTAAAAACTTCATTTTCCAGGGAGTCCTGGCCAAGTGGCAGAAACGCTCACAACATTTCTCAGTTACACAGATAGTTACATACAGGATTACAGAAGGCTGTTACAACACAGGGAATCCGTCTCTGGTGCGCTCAGACTGGTTTTCAAGGAGATGAGTTCAGTTCATTTCCAGTTTTCCTGCAACCTGTTCCATGAAGAGTTATTATCAAGCATTAATAAATAAATAAATAATGTACTAACTGCTTAACCACAATATATAATAGGTGTATATTAATGGTAACAATAATAAAGGATGCTTAAAGGGACTTTACGGAGTTTTGAATTTTTATGCTCGCGATTGCCCCCTCAGGCCAAAAGTGTAACGGCTGCTTAAATAGGAGGCTCGTGCACGAGGCGCGCATGCTGTACGTGCACACTCCTTAATGAAAATAACAGCTGAGACAGTCCTGTGTGTGTGTGTGACTGTGTGTGTGTGTGTGGGGGTGGGGGTGGGGGGTGGGGGGGGCCCAGAGGACAGGAGAACGCGCAGCTAATTAATTAAATAATGTGGTTCTGTAGCTTTCTCTTCAGCACAGCCGACAAAGGTTTATGATGGGTCAGTCCTCCTGCATGCTCAGATCATTCCCTTCCCTTGCTTGAAAAATTGTTCCAAAATGAAAGTTGAACCCACATCTTTTTTATCTGTGAATTCAATGCCGTTCGGCGAGTCTCAAATAAAAATTTGGGCATCTTACTGTAAAAAAAAATACCACTAATGTAAAAAAGAAACTATGTTCACTTCCAGAATCGAACCTGAGTCTACTGCACAGGAGTCTGACATCTTACAAGCTGAGCTATATCACCAGTGATGTCCTTTGTATCTGTAACGTTTATATCCTTGATGACAGCTGAAACAACGTTCAAAGAACGGTTCGGAGTGAAAATGGCTGTTTTGTTGCTAATTAGCAGGAAATATCTAGAAGAAAGTTCTACAGAAAGAAGCTAAGGGTCCTCAGAAATGTAGCTAGCTTTGTCACTAGGCGTTAGGAACAGCGACAAAGTGGCACTGCCTCTCTCTCTGCTGCTAAAGCTACGGATAGCAAATGCTACGGGCGATGCCTGAGCGTGAACGCGCATGAAGCAGCCTGCTCGACCCGAGCATCTCTCTTTTTCTGTGATTTTACAGAAAAACAGGCAATCCCAGTAAAAATGCCAGGGCTCATTCGACAGGACCACGGCATTGCAGGAGAATGTATGAAGAAGACATTTATTATTTCTATACATGTTTTGGCTGTCACACTTCCATAATGCTCCTTTAATAATGCACAAAGGGATGTTTATTCTCTCGTTTCTGGCTACATGAAACAATGGAATGAAGCAAAATAAAGATAGGTCTGAGGCGAGAGCGCTCACTCGGTCACGTTTCTGCACGGACAATGTAACAAAGATTTTTTGTAAGAGAGATGTCTCATTTTGATCTGTTTTCAAACACAAAACATTTAAAACGTTGTCGCACTAATTGTGCTTTTTAACTTATTAATCAAACATTTTCCTTCATGAACTCAGCAATGATCTTTGGCCTAAAGGCATCACAGAGTCCGGAGGATCTCAGGAAGAATGTTTCAGCTGCTGCTGGAGACGTGTTTTCCTGTTACTGCCTTCAGTTTAAGTCGTTGTCATTTTGCACAGATGATGTTTAAATCTTAAGTACGCTTTTCTCCTTGTTTCTAGAAAGAATCACTCATAGCCCCTCGTGTCTGACAGCGGCCATTCATTCAACATCCTGCATTACAAGATGACCTTAACAGCAACTTCTGCATCTGTTACTTTGCTGCTCTTGAGGAAATTAGAAAGAAGAAGGAAAGAAATGCATCCTGAGTTTTTACTCTACGTGAAATTATTTGATCACAGTGTTTTTTTTTTAGTTGAAGCTAAAAGTTTATTAATAATCTGCGAGGACATACATTTAGAACTAGCCTTTTAGTGCATCCATACTGGTAAATATAAAAATAACTGCAAATACGACATGTATAGTGTCCCAAGTGTTATCATAAACAAACAAATAAACCAATAAAACGCCGATAAGATCGTACCGTAAACCAAAAATATCATCAGCAAAAAGCAGTTCAACCAGTCTAAATGTTGAGATTTTGGTCTTTTGTTTGATCCAAACCGCCTGTGAACAAGACGGGACGCTGATGGAAGTGTGTGTGTGTGTGTGTGTGTGTGTGTGTGTGTGTGTGTGTGTGTGTGTGTGTGTGTGTGTGTGTGTGTGTGTGTGTGTGTGTGATCTATGTCAGAAGCGTGAGTCCCTGGTTGAAGAGACAGAGAGACAGTGAGGGCATGAAGCAGGAAGATGGAATGATAGATAGATAGATAGATAGATAGATAGATAGATAGATAGATAGATAGATAGATAGATAGATAGATAGATAGATAGATAGATAGAGCTCTGACCGTCAGCACGAGCCAGTCCTCCGCCTGCTTCTTCTTCACCTTCACTTCTGGGGTTCAGCCTCAGCCCCCGAAGCGTGAAAAATCCACACGAACCCAATCTTAAGCCGGCTGAAGCCCACCGGAGCGTGACTGTTTGGATTTATGCGGACATTCTGGAACCCGATCCAGTTCAGCACCTTTCGTTTAATGCAACATAAAGACGTAAAGAACCAAATAAATGCAGTTATCTGAGATACAAAAGAAGTTTGAGCCTCAGTCTTAACAAAGTTCAATAAAATGCATCAAAAACAAACACAGGAGCAGTGAAAGCATCCAACTGATGAGCAAATAGTGAAGAAACGTACACTGCCCAGCCAAAAAAACACATCTCCACGTGGATTTAACTAACCACACAGGTTAGGAGCCTCCTGTTACACATTTACTGCACGGCTCTATTTAACCCAGCTGGTGCACTGAGTGGCTTCTCATTTCTTAACGGTGTGGAAAGACACATCTGGTGTTTGTGGAATAGATGTTAGTCTGTGTGAGAAGGATGACTGGCATGCATCAAGCAGAGAAAACATCTAAGGAGATTGTAGAAATGACTACAACTGGGTTAAAAACTGGAAGGATGGAGGGAACCCATAGTTTTCCAGAAACAAATGTGGCCGGAAGAAAAAATCCTGAATCATCGTGATCGGTGATCACTTACACGTTTGGTGAAATCAAATCAAAGAAACCAACAGTTGAACTGTGTTGGACGTATTTCCACACACACAATGCAAAGGGAACTCGAGGGATTGGGACTGAACAGCTGTGTAGCCGTAAGAAAAGCACCAATCAGGAGGCAAACCAGATAAAAAGGCTTTCATTTGCTAGGGAGCATTAAGAATGGGTTCTGGAGCAATCGAAGGTCATGTGGTCTGACGAGTCCTGATGGACCCTGGTCCAGCGTGACGGTGCATCAGGGTAAGAAGAGAGGAAGATGAAGCGATGCACCCATCATGCCTACTGCCTACTGTACAAGCCTGTGGGGGCAGTGTTATGATCTGGGCTTGCTGCAGTTGGTCAGGTCTAGGTTCAGCAACAGGATGTGCTTCAAGAATGAGGTCAGCTGACTTCCTGAATTTACTGAAGGACCAGGTTTTTCCATCTTCCCTGATGACAGGGGCACATGCCAAGGATTCATTGGGCTCAGATGGTGAAAGAGTGGTCCAGAGTCCAGACCTTAACCCCGGTGAGAATCTTTGAGATGTGCTGGAGAAGGTTTTGTGCAGCGGTCCGACTCCACCCTCACCAGTGCGAGATCTTAGTGAAGCATGAACGCAACACTGGATGGAAATAACGCTGGTGACGCTGCAGAAGCTTATCAAAGCACAACGGAAGTGCGCCGTGATCAAAGCTGTGTGCAGCCCTTTTTTTTGGACCGGGTAATGTACATTAAAGATCACCTGAGGTGATAAATCTAACAGCTTTAACTGAACTTTTTTTCTACAAGCCTTCAAGAGTGTGCTCCTTTCACCAGCCTTTACAGAAAAGATCAAGGCCGGTTATGCAAACTCTCTGTTCTTCTTTTCAAACACGATTTGGCTTCACAATCGTCTCCGTTCACATGTTTGAAAATAGCAGATCTGGAATCCCTTACGCACGGGGTTGTCTTTATTCTTTCAAAGACACCCACATGGCTTAATAAGCTGCATTTGATTTGACCAAAGGTTTGGAAAGCAAACAAATATCAGAACTGGAACCAGCAAATTGGGGCAGGTTCTGCTTTACTGAGCCCAAAGTGATGCCAGTTAAGGAGATGCTTGTTGAGCCCCGGAGCTAAAAAAGATATCGACAGCACCTGCATATTCGTCACATAAGTCCCACGCAGCTGTTGGCCTCATTCAGTGAGCAAACAAATTTAACGCTAATGCCATAAATATTCATCTTGTCAAATCAAACAGAGATGTCAGACTGACGGAGAACAGCCAGAGGCAGCTTGTCTGTTTGGTGGCGATGTCACATCGTGACCAAAGAACCTGACAGTGGTGCAGCACCTTACCGCTGCTGGGCCAGCCACACTGGTCTGAACTGTACACGCCAAAAATAAACCTTACATAATGGAAGAGGATGGAGGATACGACCCGTCTCTCCCTCCGGCAGCGCTCACCCATCTGGCAGACAAGAACAGCGCGACTCGGACGCGCGGAGATCCATCATGTTTCCTGCTCTGCACCACATGTAGAGGAAAAGAGAGCTGACATTTTAGTCCAGGATGCGGGTTTCATGCTTTGTGTCGGTAGAGTTAGGGTTGGGGTTAGGGTGCTACAGGAGCTCTTTAAAAATACGCCTGGTAACATTTTTCATTTACTCCCATGTCTACAGCCTAAAAGGAGGAGGTGAAAGAAGCAGAGTTCAGCCCAGCAGATTGTTGTTTTGCCAGATTTAGTCACAAAACAGCTGTTTTTTTAAGTGTCATGTGTGACTACTATCAAAGTGTTTGATGATTTTAACTGCTTGTTTCAAGCAGCACATTTTTTAATGGCAAAAATGGACTAAAATACAGTTTTTTGCATCAGAGCTTGTCTGAATATGTAGAGCGTGGTGTCCTACAAGGCTGTGTGTTAAGATTACATCTAGTTTAATGTTGTTTCTGTTCTTCCTGCTCTAGGCTGTAACGGAGACATCGACGGGACTGTGTCTTTGCGTGAAGCTCATCCTCTGCTCTGCTTAAATCTGTTTCATCGCCCACCTGCCTGCTTTGCCTCTCGCTTTGCCCCACCTTGCTTCCACAGCCTGCCCCCGCCCCCCCTCACCGTTACTGCTGCACCCTGTCAACACAAACACACAGACTGACTGGACCCTTTAGCGGTCGGTGTTGGCCCGCTTTGCCAGAGCGGCCGACGAAACAAAACCGCAGACTTTGAAACAGAGAGGCCTTTTTCCAATCTATGCCTGAAGATAATTGTGATGATTGTGAAAGAGACACGCCACATTACATTCAACGAAAACCTTTTTCATTTGTAACACATTCCTTTTGCTTAATTCTCCTTTAGGAACATTAGATCTTCACAACATTCATCGTAATGATGGTTTCTTTCACAAAACATGTCCCATCATTCACACGATAGACCCTGTTTGAGAGGTTTTACCAGCCGACTTTTTATTAAACCTGAAAGCATGTTTCAAACTTTCTTGGTACCTTAGACTTACGTTTGGATTTTGATGGATTAAGGAATATTTTTCTTGCACTAATTTCAGTTATACTACAGTATTACTACAAGATTGCCCTTTTATACTTCATTTTATGTTGTGTCTTTCAAAAGAAACTGTAAAAAAAAGGACGTGTCTTATGAGAAAACAGCAAAACCACAATCTTCTTAATATTATCTGATTTTAAAAAAATTCTCACAGTTGGGGCCAACTGACCCACCTGCATTATTGTAAACCTTAAACTAGGCAAAAGGAAACAATTAGTTTAGGCCAAAGTAGCCCAAGATCAGATGATTTTCTGAGGTGAAGACCTCTAGTCACCATTGCCATTAAACTGATATAATTGGTGCCAAAATTGAAGCTGATGTGTCCTTTTATCAAAATGTGATCATTTGGAAAGCCGGATGCAGTTGAATAGAGCGAAAGACGGACTTCGAAGCTGCAGAAACTCGAATGTTTCATTAAATCTATTTTTAAATTTGAGTGCATCTTTTGCAAAGAAGACGAAATGCAGCGATCGCCAACTGAGCCGAACAGATTCTATGAAGCACAAAAAAATTTGTACATTAAAAACAAAATGACACACAAAGGGAAAAATGCAGAAAAATATTGCTATCGTTTATTTTTGCTTGTTTGTTTTTGGTGAAAGCACCGTTACGGTTCGAACACCGTCCAGCTGTGTGACTCCTACAGGTCATTCCAGGCTGTAACCTGCTAATGAGCACTAAACAGCTGCACCTGCGCTGTCAAAGGTTAAGTGCCTTAGGGGCATCAGAAGCAGGAGTTATTAAAAAAATTATATTTTTTAAAATTTTCCTTGTTAGCACCAAGATTTTTCACCAGTTCTCTCTAAATGCATGCACTCAAGACCTTTAATGGCTGCACAATTGTTAACATTTCTATAACATTCCCATTTTTTGCATCCCTGAGTGCTGAACTTTTAGGGATCTTTTTATTTGAAATTTACCTTCTGTTATTATGATTTTTTTTCTACAAAGAAATTGTAAAACTCCAGTGAAGCTATTTATTATAAACTAGTGAAAAAGGTAAAAGATCCTCAGCGCTGGAGGAGGAAATCAAACCTTCCAACATCCCAGTTAAACCGATTCCATTACACAGTCTGCTCACTTAGAATCGGTGCACATATTTGTCTGAAGAGGGAAATTAATCTTTTCCATGTGAGTGAGAGAGAAAAAAGGAATGAATGAATTCCAGAAATCCAGAAGAATGCTAAACGCCTCCATTGGTATTCACATCCAGCGTGATGAACGTGTCGTCTTTGCTGTGAAGAACACACTTCAGAGGCGTCTAAGTTGGTGGGAGATTGTATTTGTAATAAATATGCACGGGGTTTGCACGGGCACAATATTCTGGCAGAACTTTGTATTTGTTGAAAAAACGTTGAGCTAATTGACCCCCACCCCGCCACACACACACACACACACACACACACACACACACACGCACACACACACACTCACAACCAAAAAGGCTATGCAATGTTAAACAAAGACCACGCCCTCTTCTACACCCTAAAATGTGCAGCTCTGATATTCGCCCAGACCTTGGTTTAATCAGCTGACTCTGAAAAAAAACTTTAATAATTTAAATTTTCTTTTTGTGAATTTCAGCAAAACTTTTCTGCAATAAAATGCTTTAATCTCTCTTTCACTTTGCAGAATCTGTAAATTCATTCCTCTAAACCCACTTTCCACATTCATGGCTGCAGCACTCGGCTCACAGCTGCCGTAACGTTGCAGCGCAATCCGTTTCATTGGGTTCTTTGCATGTAATTCAATGTGAAAATGTGAGACCTTGGAAAGATGAAATTTAAAATGCTCCATATTTTCTGATGAGTTCATTTTTTTCGTTTTGAGCCGCTGCTGTTGCATGCTCACAGTAGAGGCGACATGAAGCCTGGAAAGCTTTTCACGTGGTTGCATACTGTGACAATAGTCTCCAATTAGCAGCACAATTTTCACGACTGATGTCTGTTTTATGTTGTGTTTTGTGGACTGTCAGAGTGAGCTCTGACGGCATTAGAAGGGCACAATAACCTGCTTTCAGTGTTCCCCGTGTTCAAAAGCCCAACGCAAGGCCCACGTACAAAAATATAGGAACCACTTGCACTTTGTGTACTTCCACTTCAGCAGATGATGAACAAAATAACAATAATAATGAAAAACAACAGTTAAACATTTCCACCTGGGTCCTGTGTGTCTAAAAACATTCATTTTATTTATTTGTTTTCCTATTTTTTATAGTTTAAGTCTACTACAAGAAAACTCCATCAGACCTATTTTTCTCCACCTACGATTAACCTTCCTGCATGAACTTGATAAAAAAGGGAGCTTGTGGAGATTAAATATGACAATGGAGCATTCGAATTAAACAAGAGGGAGGGAACTGTCATTCACAGATGAAGAAAGAGCACCAGACTGCAAAACGAGGAGTTCTCAGCCCTCGTGCTTGCCTAATTTCTTGTATCCAAACAAATATTTACTGACTCGAGGCAGTCACCTGTGGGAAACCAGCTTTCCATTAAAACCTCTGATGAGTACATGCAGATGCAAAGATGTTTATTTTCTTACTGACGACAGCTTTCAGCTCATTGCTCACGACGATACGGTGTGAAGTGATGGAGAAGGATGCCTACGCACTTGTTGCATTCGAGTTTCCTCACAGCTTATGAGTTCAGTGGGAAGCATATCCTTGGAAACTGTGAGAAACACCATGACATAGTCTCCTGTAGCTGTTGCGTGGTGCAAGGGTGCACTGAAAAGGCTTCATGCAATCCTGTCATTTTGTTCCCCGCATGTCTTTTTTTTTCATTTGGAAATGTTCAAAAACTGCGTTTGTCATCGAATCAAAGGCAAACTTGAGAATGTACAGGCTGATGTCAAACACAGGCAGCTTTTTCAAAAAGGGCAAAGCTCATCCCAAAAAACCGAAGACTGCCCTGAAAACCTCGTTTATGATGACATTTCTACAGCTGCTGGTTCACATCTGGTTTCAGATTCATGCTTTTTCTTTGTTTTCTTTAAACGAAGTTTTATTGTTCATCCGGTGCGTGTGCCCCTGAGTCGTACACCACCTCACTTCTTTACCACCTTTGTTGTTTTTAAACCGCTCTGCTGCAAGAATCATGATGCAAATCCATCGTGCTCCTTCTCATGACTGTGTTAACGACAAATCACACGATGGAAGTCAGCCGCTCGCTCTTCGCCATCATTGGGGTGTCATCGTCATCATCACCACGACGACATCAGCCACACACAATGCTGTCCTTACACTCAAAAGGAGCACATCGATCATTCAAGCTCGTAAACGAACCTTCATTTGTATAATTTGTACAGAAAAGTTTATAAGAGTTTTCTACCCTTCCAGAAATGATTTAGTTTCTGCTGTTCAACTGAATGTCAACAAATCAAAATGTGCAGGCCTTGTTATGAGAAAATGTGTGTTTTTTGTGCAACATTTGAATACGCCCGACTGTCCAGAAGAAGAAAAAGTCAATAAAACTTGAGTGATAAGTTCCTGGGTTGGGCGTGTGGTTTGTGCTGATTGCTGACTTTCTTTGAACTCGACCACATTATGATGAATAACAGTTTATCTCTGTGCATCTGTCCCACGAGACAAGCTTGTTGATTAATAAAAGCAAGCAGCATGACTCATATTGTGCCCTGAGACATCATTAATGTTCCTATTAATGCAGCTTATGTTGCCTTGACAAGAAATTTAGAAAGTTAATTTATTATTCTCTTGATATTGACCAAGGAGAGACAACTCAACTTCTTTAATGTTTTTATAGCTAATGGCAGTAAAAATTAAGGAGGAACACACATGCATGTGTGTGTGTGTGTGTGTGCATGCATGAGTGCATGGTAGTTAAAACATTCATTTTATGCATGTACAGACACACACACACGCATGCATGTGTGTGTATGTATGCATGCGTGTGTGTATGCATGCGTGCATGGTAGTTTAAACGTTCATTTTATGCATGTACAGACACACACACACACACACACACGCATGCATGTGTGTGTGTGTGTATGCATGCGTGCATGGTAGTTTAAACGTTCATTTTATGCATGTACAGACACACACACACACACACGCATGCATGTGTGTGTGTGTATGCATGCGTGCATGGTAGTTTAAACGTTCATTTTATGCATGTACAAACACACACACACACACACCACAAATAGTGATTATTTAGATATCTGTACTCTAGTTTATGCGCCTCTGATTATAGTTTTAGAATTATAGCTGTTGTAGCTCACTGAACAGCCCTAGTTTGGAGAAATGGACATCATGTTTCATGAGAGAGGCTAACGGCTAGTCACAGCAAACAGACATGTACAAAAATGGTTTCTGCTAACTTAAAACTGATCTGAAATTTTAAAAAAAATTCTGACAGCACTTTACAATAAGGGTCCCTTAATTAACTTTACTTAATGCATTACTAAGCAGACACCCCCTCCACCGCCCTGGCCATAACATCCTTACTTTTATACTTGAAGACCTTAACTATGTGGTTATTTTGTCTGAGACATTGATGCTGAACAGGAAGTACAAAAGCTGATTTAAAGGCCAAGTTCATTGAGCAGTAGCTCAACAGGTTGAGCGGGTTGTCCAGTAATCGGAAGGTTGCAGGTTTGATCCCGGCTCTGGACAGAGAATTCTGCTGTCGTGTCCTTGGGCAAGACACTTAACCCACCTTGCCTGCTGGTGGTGGTCGGAGGGACCGGTGGCGCCTGTGTTCGGCAGCCTCGCCTCTGTCAGTGCGCCCCAGGGAAGCTGTGGCTACATCGTAGCTCATCACTATCAGTGTGTGAATGAGTGAGTGAATGGATGAATGATGCACTGTAGTGTAAAGCGCTTTGGAGTCCTCACTCTGAGAGGCGCTATACGAGTGCGGGTCATTTATCATTAATTTTAAAAACACGTTCGGTCACTCTGAGTTTAACATGCAGGCTAAACATGAAAAGGGTCATCCAGCCCCATTCCCTGCCCTGGGACACGCTGGTGGAAGACAGGCTGCTGCCCTGTTGAGAGTAAAGTGTCTTGCTCAAGGACACAACGACTGAGCGGGACTCAAACCTACAACTCTCCAGTTACTGGGTAGCCACTTCACTCCTGTGCCACCATCATTAAGATCTCATACTTTATTTAAATTGCCTCTGGAATGTATTTTCTTACTGACTAATGAGAAAGGATTTTTATTTTTGTAAAAAGAGACTTTTAACTTCCTCTCGGACGTTTTCGGCTTCAGAGAAGGAATTCAAATCACTGAATAAATAAATGAAACCACCTGTTCCCCTGTTGACTCTCCACCTATTATTGCCACAAGCAGACATCCATTTGCTTTTGGACCTCCACCAAATATTAATTTAGCTGATTTTATGTGGCAACAGGTTCTGATGGATGTAATATTTTTGTAATTAGAGCTTTTTAGTTTTTCCGGATGAACTCAAGGACGGAAAGCAAAAACAACGTTATTGCTTGTATTTTAGCAAATTTGTTGTTTAGAAATGGTTAAAGAGCAAAAATGACGTAAATGGCCTGTATTTGATAAATCACCTTCTAGAGTCCTAGAAACCCCCCAAGATACTTTACAGCACAATCAGCCATTCACCCATTCACAAGGTGATAATGAGCTACCTGCAGGGTGCAAAATTTAGTTTTGAATGACAAGTTAGATTGGCTTTGGAGAAGAGCGTCTCACTACATGAGAGACGGTACTCATTTGAACAAAAGTGGTTCTGAGCTGCTGGTCTCAGACATACAACACGTAGTACAATCCATCCCTCGGGACTGGCTGACGCCATCTCAACCCTGTACTCGACACACATCTTCACTCCATGATGTGCCTCCTGTATGCTCATCCTCTCCCTTCTACGCACCAACTGAGCTAATCTTTGGAAATAGGCCTTGAATGTGTAAACTGAATAAAAGAAAAGCCCCTTTAAGCCTCCTTCTATGTCATCTAATAAATTAGAAAGTTTGTCTCGGGTTAAGGCGAGATCTATTTCCATAAGTCTTTTATTTAAAGTGATTTTGTTCCTACTTCTCGGTTAGATTTGTTGTTTCTTACAGAAACCTGGATTAAGCCGGATGAATGCAGTCGTACTTTAGAGGTTTGACCTCCCCACTATCAGTTTTTAAACTCGCCTCATCTTTCTGGTAGGGGTGGGGGGTTTGCAGTCCTTCATAAAGATTTTTTTACTTGTACTCCCGTTGCTCTGTCTGCACGTTCCAGTTTTGAAGCCCTGATGTTTGAAACTGGTGTGTTCTCTCCTGCTGCTTGTGTGACGGTCTACCGCCCCTTAAACTGAATATTGTGTTTTTATGAGTTCTCAGAACTCGTCTCTTTCGGTGCGTAGAGTTTTGACTGTGTTTGATTTTAGGTGGGGTTAGGGTTAGGAACATGTGCAGTAAACATTAAAGAGACACGCCCACCTACTTTAGAACAACTCAGCTCATTGGTCGCATAGACGTGTGAAAAAAAAAGTTATTTTTATTCTTTGTTTTGGATCAGCTGTTCTGTTGCTGCTGAAACCCTCGGAGAATGAACCAGCCACTCCAAATCCTGTCGCTGATTGACGCTGGTTTTCTATCCTATCACACACTTAATTACAGTTAATCACAGCTAATTGCAGTTATTTGGCTTCACATTGCATTCACCTTGTGTTCATCAGTCCCTTCAAAAGACGGCTTCGGTGAAAAGCTGCAAGATTCCAAAGATGCAAGATCAGGGTGGAAGAAAACTTTTTAAAAAATCTAAAAGTTGAAAATTTGGATTATTATTCTGATACAGTAAAATTACTTTATGGATTATTAAGGTCTTAATACAAATCACAGCAACATTTTCATTACCGCTGCAACATAAAGACAATTTTCAAATCTGGGAAATGACAAACATCTGGGGACAAATAGTGAAACTGGTTGTTTTATTTTGAAAAACTGATTTACAAGAAACAGATCAATCATTAAAGAGCAAAAGTATAACTTTGTAAACAACATTACTCGTGCATTCCTAATAAAACAGACTTATCTCCGCTCTCTGAAATCAGAATGAAGAGCAAACAAGAGAGGTGGAGAAAGAATGGGTGTTACATTTATTATTAATATGGCAACACAAGACTGGATGTATTCTACTCTGCTGCATTTTGAAAGAGGTGGGAACAATCAATCAATCAATCAGTCAAAGATACTTTATTAATCCCAGAGGGAAATTAGAGTTTCAGTACACACAATTCAGAGATCAGACTTACATGGGCAACACACATGACAAGAATTGGTGACTGTGGTCATTCGCAACCCGAGTCGCGCTACCTTAATAGAGATAAGAGGGTTACATGAGGACTGGTTCAGGTGGAGGGAAAAAAGGCACTTCAGAGTTACCCTCCAACAGGAGGGCAGCTTTGCTCTGCAAAAAAACACCTCAGCATATATGAAACAGACTTCAGACATCACACAACATAAGTGTCCACTAGGAGGGGTGATGGGTTGGGACTATCCCCACTTCAGTTCCTGCAGCCACGATGAGCAGCACATGTCACCTCAGTGTGGATAGGGGGAGGAGCATTGAGAGTTGGAGGGTTGCAGTGACCCTGGAACGCTTCAGCGGCCTTCCCGCTGTTCCGCCCAGGCTGGGAAAGGAGACAGAGTTGAGTTGCCATAGCGACAGCACATTCCACATATCTTCTGAGGGGGGAGTTTTCGTTGGAGACTTGCAGGCTCAAGGGCGCCAGATTCTGATTAGAAATTGTTTTGGGGCCAGACAGAGATAATTTCCTCTCCGTCTTACAGTTTGTTGGTCCTCAACCTCTCAGAATCCCAATAATGGACGTTAATCTATCCCAATCCGTGCTGATTTGTCCACGCTCTCCTTGATAGCATCCATCTTCTGTGCCAATAATGAATCTCGGCCAAAGTCCCAAGCTTACGATTCATCTTGACAATTATGTGAGTCTGTGAGTTCACAGCGTGGTGCCATCCATCACTGAGCTCCGGGATCAGGCCAGTATTCCTCGACAGCTTGTTAATTTTCTAGTAAGCCAGGTAGCCTCCAGGGCCAATGAGCAGGAAACCCGACACCAACACCACGAATATCCACACGTCTTCAGAGTCCTCCACAGACAGCTGAGATAGACAAATCAAGTTCCACTGTTTCCAGGAGTCCATGATGTGTCCAACTGGGTCTGTCCCGGAGGGGCATCTGGGAGCCCCTTCTCCCGTTATCATCGTTGAAAAAACTTAATCAATCACGTTGAGAGACCAACTGACGAGATCCATTTGAGTGAATTTCAGTTTCCAGTTTCCAGAAAAATGCAGAAGCAGCCGTGCACCCAGCACACACAGACAGACAAAGGCCTTGAGGATAAGATATGGAGGAGAGGAGGAAAAAAGCGTCTGCACCCACCAAGAGCCGGAAGAAGAAAGACACAGTTCGGTGTCCAAATGAAAACTTTTAACCACTTCACAGGTACGCCATGCAGCTTTTAGAAAAAATCACCTGAAGAGT